CATATGACGCATCTTATAAATTTAAAGACTAGTGGTTTACATTATTATTAAACCTGAAATCATTCGATATTTCAATTACCAACAGCCAAACAACAGATAACGCCATAATCGGAGGTCATACACCCCTATTTGATATATATGGCCGTGCATTATTTAGAAAACATGCTGATAAACTACGAAAGAAAAACCTAATTTTTATTGATCAGATAACTACTTCAGATGGTTTAGCTCTCTTCACCTTATCAGATCTCAAATTTTCCACAGCTGCACTTCACTTTCCAAAACCACCAACATGGTTCATTGACCTTCAGAACTTAATATTAAACAACAATTCTAATAGAAACATCCCACTACAATACCAACATCCTTATAATAATATCATTCGTACTAGACCCCCGGTTCATATTAAAAGTACGACCCACTTCACAGTAGGATGGCACTTACCTTCTAACTTGTCAATAGTTGGCAAAGTGCTTAAGATAGACTCAAACATTGTACATATACAACACTTTCATTTTCAAGCGAAAACTTCTTGGAAATCTGTTCTCATCGCGTGTAATAGCTGTTCTATGAACGACAATACCACTTTCATACCTTCCAATATGAAAAACAAAAATTTTTTATACTTCGTTAAATTAGCGCTACCCTTATGTTCAATTTTACATACATTTCCCATACATAACCTTGGTTATCTTTGTCCCCTTTCCCCATATATGATCTTCGAAATAGCCCTTTTTAATTTTAAAATTCACACAGATCCCACTTTTAATATTGAACCTTCTATACCTCCTATTAACATTATCTCATTGAATATTTTTACTTCTGATATAGCTACTCAATTAGATAGTCTCTTGCTTCTGTTCTCACAATCAACTAACCTTTCATTTTATACTGATGGTTTTCTCTCTAATTTAGGTAGTTCTTCATCTCGTATGGGGATTGCCTGGTTACAAGTCGATCCATCAGCACCTCTTCATTCCTTCAATGTTTCCATTATCTTTCCTCAACCTTCTTCCTCTCTAGCTAAATTAGTAGCGGTTTTAGCTGCAATTCATGTTTCACCCCTAACTCCAATATTGACATTTTCACAGATTCATTAGTCACTATAGCCTCTTATTCAAAAATATATTATTTTCTTTCTTGTGCCTCCACATACAACCCCATTTTCAAAGCCTCAAATTATCCTATTTGGTGTTTACTCTTCCGCCAGCTCAAAGAGAAAAATATAGATATCACATTCTATAAAGTCAAAGCTTATGCTGACGATCACCTAAATAATGAAGTTGACCGACTCACTAAAGAAATAAGTCTACCAACAACTCTAGTACAGTCAAAATTAGGTTTCAACTATACTCTCCATTACAATAACCAGATTGTTCTGACGCCTTCATGACATCTTATCAAAGACATCCTCAACTCCATTGACTTTTACAACATTCAACTACTTCCACATTTTAAAAAATATTCAACACTAGAGGTAGACTGGATTAATACTGCCTTCGTATTCAATAATAATGAAAGTGACTCTGTCACATCCTATAAGGCCTCCTCTATACGAAAATTCAAAGTCAAACTTCTGCTTGAACTTCTCCCTTCACTTGAGGTACTCAAAATGCATCACTCCAAGCTATATGATCCTTCATGGCCCTGCCCTAAATGCCTTACTAGCTTAGAGAATTTTGACCATATCTGGCTCTGCCAACATACTTCACAACAAGTCAACGACATTTTATTAGATACTATCGCCTTCCTCTCTCAGCATTTGTCTGAACTCAATCAACAATTTGATATAGCAAGCATCATTTCAATAGATATTTGAAACCTTAATCCTACACACTCCTCTCTTAATTTCATTGACTTTATAAAGGCATAGTTCCGTCCTTGCTTACAACGAAATTACATCAAATAGTAAATAATAAGACACTCGTCCGTGATTTACTTTTCTCAATATACCACTTCACTCATGAAAAAATCAAAACTTTTTGGCTCGATCGATGTGTCACCCTAAAAAAATTTGAAGATGAATACAACTTGTCTCTCAAGGATCAAAAAGAAAATACTGTATCAACTGGCTTTCCTGACTCCACCCCTCACACCTTTACTATCCCCCCCTACTTTCATAATTCATTCCTTTTTGGTTCGCTTTGGTCAAATTTTTGGAACGGTAATAACCAAGCCCCCATATTGGATGGTAGAACCTATTTTAAACTAGTTTAGGGTAGGTTAGTCTAGAACAGTGCAAGGTTGGTTTTGATTTAGTCTTTACTAGATAGAAATTTTTGTACTCTCTCATTTGTAATTTGTAATTTTTTACTTTACTTTTAATAAAGATTATGCAAAGCTACCGCACGTTAAAAAAAAAAAAAAATTATCTATACTATAAAGTTTACTAATAAAATAATTTATCTTAATATTAAATTATATAAAATTATAATTAGATTATTTGGTAAATAAAGTTTATTAAAATATTAAACTGATTGATAAAAAGCAGATCTTCTTTTAAGCTAATAATGGTATAATTTTAATTAATTTATAATTGAATGAAGTATAATACGATATGATTTAATAAGATAAAATTTAGAAAAAGTTTTAATTACAATAATTTTATTTACTTTTTATTTATATATGTATGAAATATTAGTAATAGAAGTAAAGGTTTTACTTAAATTTTTTAATAAAAGATAATTATCTATCTAAACATAATGTTAAATAATAATTGTATCTTGATCTTTAAATTTTTTAATAATTATCTAATTTAAACGGAAATAATAAGCTATAAAAAAATCTCACCTTTTGCTATCTATTTTAAAATCTATATTATCTATATTTATAATTATTATTATAAAAAAATTAATCTAAAATTATCTTTCATATTCCATTATCAATACTATTTAAAACTTTACTAAAATTATATTGTAAATAACAGAATATTTTTTTGTCTGTTAAAATTTTTATAAATAACTTTGTAAAAAATATCTCTCTAATTTAATAAGTAAAAACTATCTTTATCTAATAGTTAATCTAAAAAATTAAATTATATTTTAACAGAGTTATAAAATTTTTTTTCAAAATCTTAAAAGAATTAAAGAGTTTAAAAAAATAGAATAGAGATTGAAAAGTAAAAAAATGGAATAGAATCCAAAAATTAGAACGAAGGTTGAAATATAAAAAATGGAGCAGAGTCCAAAAATTAGAACGGAGGTTGAAATATAAAAAATAGAACGGAATCCAAAAATTAGAACTGAGGTTGAAATGTAAAAAATGGAGCAGAATCCAAAAATTAGAATGGAGATTGAAATGTAAAAAAATAGAGCGGAGTCTAAAAATTAGAATGGAGATTGAAAAATAAAAAAAATGAAGCAGAGTTAAAAAAATTAGAATAGAGATTGAAAAGTAAAAAAATGGAATAGAGTCCAAAAATTAGAACGGAGGTTAAAATGTAAAGAATGGAACAGAATCCAAAAATTAGAATGGAGGTTGAAATGTAAAGAATGGAACGGAGTTCAAAAATTAGAATGGAGAAATGGCAAAAAAATGTAAGCATACTCCAAGTGATAACCTTTTGACAGATGATAGAGAGAAAAGGCATTAAGCACATAATCTTCTCTAAAATGGATATAAATTTAGCAAAGAGTAGGCATTTGCATTGATTCCTGACTAAAGAATTGGGCAGTACATAAGTCAAGCACCAGTGGTGATCCTAGAAGTTGAAGTGAATATAAGTTAAGTATTTGGCCAGAATGGGCTTGACATAAATAACGTCTCAGAAGAAGAGACTATTAGAGAAACAGCTTAGCATATTATCTGGGATAAGCTTAGTGAAAGAAATGTAAAAGCGATATCTAGAACCTTAGAGGAAATATCTCCTGATGCTGTTGTTATCCTATCACGTCTTTTTAGGCTTTGCAAACTCTCAATGCTCTAGAAAAAATAATCTCTGCTATAAAGAATCTGGAGACAATCAAATTATTCAATAAAATTCAAAAAGAATGTAACAAGCAATGTAAAAATGAAGGGCTTCTTTATCCAGATCACTTCTCATTAGAATCAGTTAAGAAAAGATAAGTATAGTGCTCCCATTCTATGGAAATGCATTGAGCTAAAAGGAAATGACACACATTGCTCTCAATTGAAAAAATTTATGAAAATAGTGCGTAGAAGACAAAAGCTCAAATCTAACTCATTTGGAAATTTCACACTACCATATTCTGTAATATAGGCATAATAACTGAATAAGGTCTATATACTATTGTTCTATCATGTCATAAATTAGAATATCTAAATATTTCTCACCGCATAGATATTCGTGAACTATCAATTTGTAATATTATTCGTTATTGTCCAAAGCTCAAACAACTTGACCTTAGCTTTTGTAAAATTACTGATATAACTATCAGAAAAATTGCTAGATCATGTCTTAGTTTAAAATATCTTGATCTGAAGAGGTGCTATAATATTAACATAGAAGCTGTAGATCAGCTCCTTTCACTTAACCTAAATATTCACATTGAAAATTTTGAGAATACTAGAATATATTTTGACTTTATATTTAGTGATTTTTTAATTAGTACTTTTCCTAGACATGGTGCTGTTTCTAATCAGAATTCGGCCCTACATTAGATACACAGATAACCTAATTTCAATACAATTGCGATAGTTTTAGATGACGTACTAGCTAACCAATTTAGCTAGTCCAGAGTAGTGATTATTAGCATTGCGTTGCTCAGTATATTGTATTTCACATTTTTTTCGTTTGAAGATGAAAGAATACTAGCCAATCAAACAGAATGCTAGTACTCTACTGATCTAACTAATCTGGTTCAGTGATCACTAGCTCAAAAGATTTTTTGCTGAATTACAGATTGTGCGACAGAAAAAATAAGTAAAACATCAGTCAGGTCTTGTACAACATATTAATTTTTGCATATACTAAAAAAAGCTATGCACGCTACCAGTACTTTATTTTTTATTAAGTATAATTGAACTACAATATTAGCAAAATGTTTGATGAGAAAATAGATGCTGAGGAGAAAGCTTTCGATGAATTTATCAAAGAATATGGACAGAGAGAAGAGGATTGGACTATTTATGATAATGATTGGCACAATTGTAATGACCTTTTTTTGTGAAATTAAGACCTATTAGAATACAAAGGCGGTTAAGTATTGGAGAGAGAAAATACTTAAGTGATTTGTATATAGTCTATCCAGTGTAAGTAATCCAACGTCATTATTCTATGTACTCTTACAATCCAATATTATTTATCTCCCACAAATAATAAGTCTAATAGAATTGCCATATTATCTACTTGAACTTCGATCAGAAATATGAGGTCCTTCTAGGACCTGACCAGATGGTATTTACTATACAAGGGGCAGTAAAATATCATAGTAATATGAAAAGAGTAATTGGTATCATTGTGAAGTTATTAAAAGATCGTATTAATGTAGATAATTCCCCACTAGCAAGAGGGCTAGAATCAAAAAATTATCAAAAAATAATATGTATTGCAGGCTACATCCTGAACTTTGTATTTATTTTTTGTATGTATTAATAAAATTTTTTCTTGGCATTTTTCTGAAACTGCACGGTCCTGGAAATCTGGTGACTTTATAACCTATTTTTCTTAGTAAAATGTCACAGTCTCTATGTATATTTATATATATTAACTAACTTTTGAATATTTCACTTGTATAAAATTTATCAATTATGACATTTTAGCTTAAAGTATTGAAACAGCGTATTGCTGAATTTGAGGCTAAGAATGCCGAGTTTGAAGCTAAAAAAGCTGAACTTTTAAAACGGATTATGGAGGAGAATACTAGAGTTGAGGAACTGAAGAAAAAAATAAGGAGCTTGAGACCAGACTTGTCATAGTGAAACAGGCTTCCTTATCAGTGGAAGAGCAGTTATAAAATGATAATCCTTCTAATAATAGTACATCTAACTTTAATTCAGTATTAAAGTATCATGAGAAACCATTGGTGGATGTGGAAACAGATAATTTTTTTCCTGAAGAGGTTTGCTATAATAAACAAGAACTGATAACAGAAGTGACAACACTACCTGCTAACTCTGCGAAGCGCCTTAATATAAATCATTAAAAGAGAAATATAAGATAGTTTCTTGCTTAAAGCTCATAAGTAAATCATTAGTAGTGAAATAAAGCGACGTAATAAGGAAAAGAAGAATGAAAAAAATGGGCAAGGATTGATTCAAGAAATCTCTTCATCTGTGCTTAAAGACAATCATGTGATTAAAATTTCTTCATTTCATGAGATTATTATGATAGAAATATCTCAGCATTTGGCCCAGTTATGTGATAAAGCGCTTATTGCAGAAGAGCATAGATTGGAAGTAAATTAAGAAGAAATATTTTGCTGGTATCACTATAGAAGAAATTTCGTATTTCAGTTGAAGGCCTTATGTAATAAAATAAAATTGGTGAAAAGAAGGCAAGAGGTCTAACAGGATAATACTATTGTAACTCATGAAAAAGAGGTAGAGAAACTTAAATCAGAAATATCTGATTTGCGAAAACAGCTTAAGGTTTTACAACAGGATAAAAAATTCAAAGATGAGGTTGGGTCCATTCAAGATGGCTGAATCATAGAGCTTGAAAATAAGATTAAAAATCTTAAAGCAAGAATCCAGATTCTCATAGATAAAAAATCCAATAAATTCTTTAAATATGGCAATGGCTAATCTTATTGCAAATGTTAATAGAGGGTTAGATCGAATTGAAAATCACATTAGGGGGTTAGTACACCTATGTATAATTCTGCAGCTTGTTAAATACTATTTAGGTTACAACTGAGAGGAATCAATATCAGAACCTATTAAATGATTTAATTTGGCAGGTAGATGATCTTAGAAATCAATTAAATTATAGCAAAAATCAGAATTTACGGTTATAACGTTTATTAGATGAATCCCACGTTTAGGTTGAAAGAACTATTAGAAAAAGAGACAATGCTCAAGGAGAGTGGGACTTGGTTATATTAGCCTATAATAATGAGAGACAAGAATCCCATCGCTGGATGTTTTCATATCAGGATAAATATAGACGTGTTCAAGGATTATTGTGAGAAAAATTTGCTAAACAGCTATTGTATCAGCGAGATAGTAACTGTTTTCAGCAAAATACCCGACAGTTGCAAACCAATACCCAAAACTAGATAAATAGGATGTTAGTTATTATAGCAAGAAAACAAACCTGCATTGGTGAATTGCTACATGAAAAATTTGTTTTTCAGCTAGTGAAACCAAAATATTTTAAATTTGCAAAAACAAATTTTAGTGCTTTAGAATAATCCAATTGCAAACATGGCTGATGCTAGACGTTTACCAGTATTAAATTTAATTGCACTTATTCTTGCTAAAAATAAGCCATATACAGGCCAAGAACCTCCTGACGATTATTTGATAGGCTTATTCAATCAATATCATTTGCACAAGAACATATGACTGTTCTTGAAAATGCAAATGCTGGAGATTTTGATGATGCTGTCAAGTGTGATATTTATAAAGCTCAGATAGGAGGAAAATATTTACCAGTTATAGCCTAAGACCTATATAACGGAAATGCTAAAATTAATACTCCAGCTACTTTATATGCTTGGATGAGATCAAAATATCAATGCCAACACTGCAGAGATTAACTCAAGAAAGATTTCTACCTACAGATTCACCAGATACTTATGAAAAAGAATCTGACCTTTATTATTAGGTGTAGCGGATGGTGATGCCCAAACTGTAAGATTTCTTAAGAATTACTTGTTGGATAATCTTTATACATGGATTGATGCATTCTTTACACAACTTAAAGATATGTGGTTAGAGCGTGTTCTAAATTTAAATGGATGTCAAAATTGTCAGTAATTCTTTAGCTGAAATTGAAAAGTTAAAATCTGAAATAGCATCCTTACAAACCCAGCTAGTTCAACCAATCCAAACGCATTCCCAAAATAATGATGATCTAAAAAAGATGTATATTTGTGCAGTGCGTTTAGGGATGCCACCTGATATACCAAAAGATCTTATGTCTTTAGATAATTATATTAATGACGAATTAATAAGGAGATTGGGCATTGCTAATACCAATTATACTAAACTTTCCAAAAAATACTCTCAAATAGTTAATGTGATCAAAAAGTTAGCTATGCATAAATGCTCTAATTGTGGTAAAGCTGGTCACAATTCTCGTAAGTGTCCCAGAAAAAAGAAGAATAAGTCCAAAAAGGGTAAAGTAAATCTTGCCACTTTGAATTCAGGTTCAGGTTCAGATACTAATTCTGATATGTTGTCTGATGACTCTTCTGATTCTGGTTCAAGTTCTTCATCTGAATCTAAATCTGAAGCTGATATTAATGTTAATATTACTAAGATAAAAAAAAAGTGAAGAAAGAATCAATTAATCCTTCCTCTTTATCACAAAAGAAGAAATCAAAGGGTCACATTACGACCAAGTCTCAAGAGATAAAAAATATAGAGATAGCTCCTTTAGTCTCAGCTCCTATTTCTAAAAAGAAAAAAACAAAGTTCAAAGTCACTGTTATAAAATAACCAATTCCGCTTAGAAAATATTATTGAGAAAATTATTGAAAAGGTATTTAATGAAAAAGTTTTACACTATTATAGCTTTTTTTCAATCATAGAATTTTGCTTCTAGAATACTAGTTGATAGTAGAGACGACTTCACTTCAAATACTCCTGAAACTCCAGACTCAGATGGAAAAATGAAATTCTAAATGAGCCTATGGAAATCAATTTCATTTAGAAAAAAGATCTTGTCACTGATGTTGTTACTACTAAATGTGAAATCAAGCGTTTGATTATTCCAGGTACCGTGGTTGATCCCAGTGCTAATTTTGCAATTATGATCGATGATATAGTCAAATGATTAAAACTAAAAATTGATACAAGTGAAAGGCATGACCTTAAAAGCGTTGCTACAGTCCCTATAGAGTTGCTTGATACAGCTAGAAATGTACCAGTATATTTTGCTCCCAGATGCACCATATATTCTGATTTTGCAGTAATCAAAAACCATCTTAGGAAGCTGATACTAATTTTATCCAATACTTTACTTGATAAATATAACTATAATTTACTTACATCAAAGCAGAAATTGAGACTAGAGTGTAATGGTAAGGAGCTTTTATCCCAATTAATATATATAAGGTCAAGAATAAGCTCGAGATAAATTGCGAACATTACTTTCGAATGTGATGAATCCTTGACCCTGAACTTTTTTTCGCAGGATTTAAGTGAGGATGATAATGTATTAAAAAAAAGTGAGTCATAGAGAACTTGAAAAAATGCTATATAACACTTTTAAGTATAATGCAGAAATCAATAAGTATTGTAAAAGATTACAGGCACACTATTGTTATGCCAGTTCTTTTAGATTGCGGGTAAATCAACTGCGATATCACAGTTTAGCAGAAGGTTTCCTTCACACAGAAGAGTAAAGATAAAGATTCAAGATAAGAAATTAAAGAGAATTACGATAAATTAGGTGAAATGCGTGCAAATAATTATTTAACAAACAAAAGACTAGTACTGCCTCTGTCGGCGCATCTGTACTAAACAGTTTATTTATCAAAAGAATTATTCAAGATAAGATGGTTCTTATTTTTTTTACATTGATGGATTACTCCTATTTATATAAAAAATACTCACTAATAATGATAAAAAATAAAATAAATGAGAAAAATGAAATAAATGAAAATAAATGTCATTAATAATGAATGACGTAATAAAGCCTATTTGTATAATAAAATTAGACTACCAAATTTAGGAAATAAGACATGTAAATCATTTAATTATCTAATTTAGTT